AAAAAACTGAGATAGTCATTTGATAGACAAAGTAGATTCACGTATAAATTTTTTGTTACGTCTTGATTCTTTTAAAAATGAAGATGTTAGCACCGTTTGCACCTCGCACGCACCCCGGTGTATGGCGCCGTGCTTACTTTAGCGTCATACGTCAACATGCGCGCTAGCGGCCTCTGTCGGCGGCATCTCCGGACGCAGCGGGCAGGTGGCGCTGCGTGCATGGTATGCCTGCGCAGTGCATAGATAGGCACACCCGCAACGAGCAGATGACAAACACGCGGATAGCTGAACCCTCGCCCGGTGTGGGTATCAGCCAAGTTGACGACGAACAAAGCAACCTCTATAAGTTCGTGCAAATATGTGAAAGATCATGTTTTGATCAGGTCAATGCTGAGGACTGAGGTCAGTAGAGTTCATCAAAAGCGGAATTTTCAGGTCAATTTTCCCCGTTTTGACATTTTCGTAGACCGGAGCATAGTGGTGAGTCAGCTACAGCATCGCAGAACAGCGCTTTCGACAGCTTTTTCAAAACTCGTTTGTAAACATGCCTTCGAATTTGATCTCACGTCACATGCAATGGTTTGAAAAAAGACTAAAATCGATAGAGCTAGTCATCCATATTCAATTTTCTGAGTTTTTAACCTCTGGATGATAAGCTACCTATAGGAATAAATGGGTTGCAAAGTATTTTAGACGCATAGTTACTAAGTGGCCTGGTGACCTGACCTTAGAATTTAGATGTTTTGGGGTCAACATGTTTGCACACGGCAACATTTTTTTTGCATTTTTGCGCAACTTGAAATATAATGGGTAAGCTATGCTAAGCCAACCGCAATTTGCTCCACAGCTAAAATTGACGAGTGAGGCCAACCTCCCCCTCCCCCATCCCTTTCCAACAAGGCGAAGGCTGAGCACCTACGCAATATGGAGGACAAGTTAATGAGCACCGTGAGGCGAGTTTATTTGATACACATACGCGTTGGACAATGTGGCACAAGTGCCCAGTTTTGATGGGCACACTCAACTCTTGGATTGAAACCCACCCTTGGTGGGTTTCACCCACACTTGGTGAAACTGGGCCCAGAATAGCGCAATCAGACGGTCAGTGTCGGGGCCTGCGCAAACTCTGATTAGCACCGACTCAGGCTCCGTCAAACCGTACGTCCAAACATTCTGCAGCTCCATACAAGGTGCGCTTTTTAGAGCGCGTATAAAATTGTGATGATCATTTTGCGCCCATAAAAACCAAGCCTTCTCGCAATAGTTGTTTATTTTTTCACCCACGCCGTGCTGGTGGTCTGAATTTTCCGTGTTGTGTCGGAGAGGGGGGGGGGTCACGTCCCCCCGTCTTACTCAGCTCATGGCCCACGTAGCGACACGCGATAAGCGGCATTCGAAAGAGCGTAAAAAATAATGACGAATATGCTACAGTATTTTTTTAGTTCAGATCAAAGGTCAGGTCCCCAGAGGTCATCAAAGGCCAAATTTTGTCTATTTCAACAGCTTTCGAAACACACAACGCATAACTCGGAAACCAATAGAGCTACAGCACATAAGAAAAGCGCGTTCGATAGTTTTTTTCACCGGCCTTTCTGATTCCTGTTTTCAGATTTTAACGGTTTAGGCTTCAGAGGGCAAAAACTGTAAAAATAGCCGTTCTTGCGAAAAATGATTTTCGGTATAGATAGCTTTTTACTTAATCAGGCCACGACCTTACTTTTGCCAGTATCGTGTTCCTCTCGTCAAAACGCGTTGAATAAACTATCCCTCGCCGGACCTATTGGTTTTCTACATAGACGCGCCGGCCGAGGGGGGGGGGGGGCGGGTACGACCCCCCTCGCCGTTTCGCCCCTGGTGGAGCTAGCGCGTCGCAGAAAAAACGTGCGTGTGCGCCGTTACGAGACGCAGAGATTGGTACCCGATTTTAAGGTCCTAGGTCAACCGGTGACCTCTGAGGTCAGGTCAAGTGCCCCAAGGTACGGTTCAGTTTTTGGTGAATAACTTCGCAAAAAACGGCCACAGAGCGCCGATTTTGGCAGCATCGTGTTCGTCTCGATCAGGCGAGTCGAATGATATACTTTTTGTCCGGGTCAGGTCAACTTGGGGTGTTGACCTCAGGTCAAGGTCAGGTCAGCACCCCCAGGTCACGAAGTTGGTCGAAAGGGGTCATGTCGCATATCATTCGATTCGGCAGTTCTTCCTGAGTCCATTGGTGGCTTTCCCGACTCGCCAGCTCAATTTGATCAAGAGTTATTGAAGAAAAAATAATATGACCTTGATGACGTCATAAATGACGTCACGCAAGGTCAACATTGCAAAAGTGACGCATCTAACCTTGCAAGGAGTGCATAAAATCACGATTCTGTGTGCTTGAGATAGTTGGAGATCGTTCCCGGCGCCAGAATAGCAGTTTTCATTTTTCCCCATTGACTTATAATGGTGAGGTCACGAAAATGACCTGACCTCATATGACCTTTAGGAAAAATCCGAGATATACAAGTTGTGAGACTCATAATGGGTACTAGATCCTGCAAGTTTCATTTCCCTGTGACATCTCCTGTGGCAGTGAGGGCGTTGCGAAGTTGCGACATCTGAAGACCGTGCAGAGGTTCACTTATGACGTCATAGGTCAGTGACTTGACCTGACCTAAAAATGCGGTTGGTGTCAAAAGATTTGGCTTGAATCAAAGGTCAGGTATGCCAAGTTTCAGTTCTCTATCGCCAGCGTGTTTGGAGCTATCGCGAAAAAACCCTATGGAGGGGGGCGGCACCCGCCCCCCCCCTCGGCCGGCGAGGGCTATACCTAAGTTGACCTTATCAGGTCATTAGAAAAAAATGGCCTCAGGTCTAGGTCATGACCTGACCGGAAAGGGGCATGCTGCACAGCAGTCGATCCGTATCGTCGAACTGAACACATCTGACGTGTTCTTGCCACTCTAGCGTGTCTCTATAAAAAGTTGTAACAAAAAAACTGCTTGTGACCTTTCATGTCCTGAGATGAGCTCAGGGGCACACAGAAGGGTCACAGATGCAATTGGTGTCATGTTTACCTATAAACCGATGTTTGAGAGTGTTTAGAACGACATTCGTCCAAAAGGAGCGCATTTCAAATTTCTCCCGTTGGCTTATACCTAATGGACAGGTAGCAGAATTGACCCGACCTTAGGTTACAGATATCGAAATTCCGAGATAAACGTTTTATGCATACTGCTACGCTTATCAATTGCTGAAAGTTTGAAAGTGGCCATTCAGTCGGTGTAGCTACAGCGAGCCTTTGAACTTTTTCTGCGGTAAGGTCACATGACGTGATCTGGTGACCTGAAAGCGATCGGGGTCTGAAATTTTCACATGTGCGGAAAAGATGTGTGAACAGGTGTACAAAACACGGTGGCGCTGCGTGCTGCCGTTTTTGAGATATTTGCGAACAACATGTAGGGGGAGCGTAACCCCCTCCCCCAAATGGGTTAAGCACAGAATTAATTGTTTTGAAAGTTCAAGCAACCAAAGCATAATAAGGTGCTTGAAGGCATTCATTAGACCTCAAATCAAACGAAGGCATCAAATCTCGAGTAAGCCGAAACCCACGCCTAACCCTCCCATTAATCTGGCACTTTGAGCCGACCGCCTGCCGACCCGGCGCCGAGAAATCACTTCCCGGCCCTAAAGACAGTCCGCTGACCGATAGCTACGCATACCCTCTGATGGTGAGGTCCACGTGGGGTGAGGGGCCCGCCGTCCCCTGTCCCGGGTGGGACGAAACCCCGCCTCAGGCAGGGGGCGCCCCAGCCCGCGGGTGCCGGACGCACCAGGGTATGGACCGGCGCCAGTCGTCGCTCAAACGCCGTGTGAGGTAGTCTCTGTCTCTCTGTGCTCCGTGCGCGCCGCCCCTGCCCCCGCCAGTCGCCGGCCGCCGCTGTGTGCGGGTGCGGCGACTCTGACCGTGTGTGCGCCATCCCTGCCCTGCGCCATGCCGGCCGGCCGGCGGTGTGATGACTACCGCTCTCTGGCGTCCACCCGGTACCTGCAGCAGGCGGCACACCGGTTGGACAGCTCGCTGCGGGAGCGCGCCGGCCTGGTGCCCTCGCTGGCCGCGGCGCTGCTGCTGCTGGTCGGCCTCGGCGGCTGGCTCTGGGGCCGCTGTCTCATCTGGCCGCAGGAGGAGGTACCCGGACCCGGCCCGCCGGACGCGCCGCTCGCCGCCAACGGCACCGCGCTGTGGGGCGAGTGTCTGCGCTCGCGGGGCTCGGCGCTGCTGCTGGCCTACGTGCTGCTGGTGCTGGCCGCGGCCGTGGCGATGGTGGTGGCGGTGCGCGCGGTGCCGCGGCTGCGCCGACAGCTGGAGGTGGCGCGCCGCCTGCTGCGCGCCGACAGCGCCGGCTGCCCGCCGCTGCCGCTCACCGACGTCATCCAGGCCGTGGAGGCCGCCGACATGGCGGAGGCCGAGAGGCTGATCCGCGGCGGCGCCGCCCAGCTCAGCCGCTACGGCGCCCTGCGGCAGACCGTGCTGACCGTCTGGGCGGCCGGAGAGGTCTGAGCGCTGACCGTCTGGGCGGCCGGCGAGGTCTGAGCGCCACCGGCGGGCGGCCGGCGAGGTCTGAGCGCGACCGGCGGGCGGCCGGCGAGGTCTGAGCGCGACCGGCGGCCGGCCGAGCGACCCCGGCACCTGCCGGCGACGGGTCAGTACCGCCGACCCCGGCACCTTCCGGCGACCGGCCAGTACCGCCGACCCCGGCACCTGCCGGCGACCGGTCAGTGCCGCCGACCCAGCACAGCAACCCAGCACCGCTGACCCCAGGCGGAACAGCTCGCACTCCAACGACAGGCCAGGGTCACGACTACCAAGGCACGGCCCTGAACACACCGAGACACGAACTGTGAGAAAGTGAGGCAAGGGCTGGGAGGAAGGAAGAGAGGCGTGGTCATGGACCGTGAGGCGGTGAGACATGGACGTGAGCAGGTGCCACAAGGGCTGTGAGGAATAGAGGCACGGTCACGGGCCGTCAGGCAGTGAGGAGAGGGCTGCAGAGAAGAGAGACATTGGCCGTGAGTAGGCGAGGCACTGCAGAGAGCTAGTCTTTTCCAGCGGCCGAAGTATAGGCGATAAGTGAGAGTGAATGGAAGAGGGTCCGGAGACGGATTTTTCGCCTTGGGGTTTTCACATTCGACACAAACAGGGATAGGATTTACTGTGTAACAGCTCGACCTCGGCTGTGGGCTGCGGCAGCTGAGCTGTGGAGAGGAGCTGAGAGCTGGAGAGCCGCTGAGAGCTGTGGCAGCTCGGACTGATCAGCAATCGGTTTAGTTGTAGCCGTACGCCAGGTCAGAGTGTGTTAGCTGGGGAGTTTTGTTAGCTAATTTGAACACTATTGACTTTCAAGAGTGGGTTTGATTGATGTCATTTTACCTCTTGAAACAGGGGACTTATGTACAAATGGTAGGTATGCGGGTAGTGAAGTGTTGACTGTTTAAAGCGAGTGGTTTTATCATGTGAATGACCTGGCATTGACCATTTGCGCTGTAAATGCGTTCATAGATATAATCGCAGCTGTCGTTCATACATTTGTTCCATCCGTCGGTCGAAACTGTGGGTATGTCTTCGACGGAATATTCAATACACCTTCGCATAATTGTTATATATTTTAACCCGCACTCGACTGGGAATTTTTATGTGAAGAACATCAATGAAGGACCTCAAATTGCAGATAGTTTCTACAGCCATATACCGACAGTCCTATATAGGTATAGGACTCGACAGCACCTTATCGTTTGTCTTTATAGTCTAACCGTTTTTAGGTAGGTGGTTACTTTGAAACTCAAATGCATAAGCGTAAGATTGTTAGAAAAAGTCAAACAACATTGTCTCATAAGCATGTATTAATGACAAATGGGTTACGTGCAAGGTAGGTTGTAGGTACCGTTACATACAAAATTGCTTATGTTCGCCGTAATGCACGTCGCGTCAATAAGTGACATCATCAAATCATTACCTATAATGACAAACACAAATGTCAGCTTATTATACTCCTTGATTTACAATACGTCATTAATGCCCATAATCATCAATCATTATTCCCTAAGCTAAACGTTAAAGCAGTACGCCACAACGGCAAACGTTTGATCATCGCATCCGGGGAACCAGTATCAGTGGAGGCAGCCGTTCGGCACTGGTTACTGAGTACCGGTGTCCAGTGGAGGCAGCCGCTCGGGACGGATTGGTTACTGAGTACCGGTGTCAGTGGAGGCAGCCGTTCGGGACTGGTTACTGAGTACCGGTGTCCAGTGGAGGCAGCCGCTCGGGACGGATTGGTTACTGAGTACCGGTGTCCAGTGGAGGCAGCCGCTCGGGACGGATTGGTTACTGAGTACCGGTGTCCAGTGGAGGCAGCCGCTCGGGACGGATTGGTTACTGAGTACCGGTGTCCAGTGGAGGCAGCCGCTCAGGACTGGTTACTGAGTACCGGTGTCAGTGGAGGCAGCCGCTCGGGACTGCAGTTACTGAGTACCAGTGTCCAGTGGAGGCAGCCGCTCGGGACTGCAGTGTTACTGAGACCAGTGCCGGTCAGGCAGAGCCAGCCGCTGCTGGTTCAGATCCAAACGCCGGGCGGCCCTGGCTCAGAGACCAATGCCCGACCATCCCACGGACTGACGATGTGGAGTCCGAAGGCCAGGGGCCAGTGGAGGACGGGCCGCCCTGGAGAAACTGAGCGCGATAACGGCACATACCGCCTGTCCGCGTACAAAGGCCGCCAGTCAGAGCGAATGCGGCAGCGGCGTCATGGTACGCGGCCCGGAAAAATCAGTGGCAAAGTCGCGCGCCTCTCGTCAGTTTGGGTTCAAAGCCCAGAACTGCACAGAGTGCAGCAGAACGGGACAAAAAGACGGGCCGGACAGCGGGCGCCACCAGCTCGACACTGCTGCCGCAAATAAAACAAAATGTTCAGCGAAAGTTCAGAAGCTTTGAGTTCAGCGACATCAAGCACTTGGAACACCAGATCGCATCATCATATTTAGAGCGTTTGAAATGATATTCCACCAGTGTAATGCCAAGATAACCAGTTTTTTCTTTTTCCTTTTCGACATCATTGTTTCGACAGTACGGTTACGTCATTTGACAAATTCATGCGCCTTGATTCGTACCTAAGGAATGTTGAAAATGTCACGTGAACAGGATGCTCGCCTTACCAAGGGCAGTGTGGTATTTGTGTGCTGCTTGTGCGAAATGTGCTCCCGAGGGAGCAGCCACGGCGCCAACTGTCACCTTCCGACCGGCAGCAGGAGCATGTCTTACTCTACTCATCTGTAGAGGAGCGTTATGTCAGCTGTCCGGCCATCCACGTACTCCCCTGCAGCTATCGTCCTGTTCCAGCTGCCTTCACCGCTGCTGCCTCTACATACCAGCAGTGGGCCCATCCAGCCCCCCCCCCCCTTAACCACCCGAGCCCCCTCAGCAGGCCCAGCGGAGCAGGCTGGCCGCCGCCAGGAGCAGCAGCAGGCCGCGGCCGGGCAGCGAGCCCCTGCCCCTCAGTAGGCCCCCCAGCGGAGCAGGCTCCCCGGCTCAGCAGGCCCAGCGGAGCAGGCTGGCCGCCGCCAGGAGCAGCAGCAGGCCGCGGCCGGGCAGCGGGCCCCCCTCAGCAGACCCAGCGGAGCAGGCTGGCCGCCGCCAGCGGGCCCCTCCCCGGCTCAGCAGGCCCAGCGGAGCAGGCTGGCCGCCGCCAGGAGCAGCAGCAGGCCGCGGCCGGGCAGCGGCGCGCCGCCGGCGCTGTCGGAGCGGCGCCGCTCGGCCCTGGCGTACCTGTCCTCCAGCGAGTTGGAGACCACCCAGACGGGCGTGGAGGACTGCGGCTGGAACCAGCCCCGGTACGCCGTGGTGCTGGCCGCCGGAGGAGGCGGCGACGGCGACGGCCGCGGGCCGATCGGGGAGCCGCGCGACGGGCCCTGGGAGCCGTCACGAGCCGGGCTACGGGCCGGGTCACCGGACTGGTCATTGGCCGGGCTGCGGAATGGGTCACCGGACTGGTCATTGGAAGACTCGCGGAATGGGCCACCGGACTGGTCATTGGAGGACTCGCGGAATGGGTCACGAGACTCAGTTTGAGTCGGGTCGCGGACTGAGTCATGAGCTGGCTCAGGGACCGAGTCGCGGGTCTGGTCACGGAGTGTGTTTTGAATTGTGTTGTGGAAGTTGTCACGGGCCAGATCAATGACAGGGTCACGGGAGGAGTCGCCGGCGGGACCGCGGGATGGGCTAGGATTACGAACTGGATCCGGAGGAGAACCCATCGATGAATCAATGCCAGAGAAGTCCTTGGCAGCGGTATTCACAATCGGAGTGAAGCCATTTTCGAGGTCGACTGGGTGATTGCTGCTTTGAGCTCTGTCCTTTGCGGCAGCCGCAGCCGCACTGGATCGGTCTGCAGAGGAGGGCTGGAGCGGGCGCTCCGGGCCGGGTGCCTCGCCGATCCCCGGCGGCCGGGCCTGCCGGGCCGTGCCGGCAGACCCCGGCGCCGCCGGATCTCTGGGCTGCCCGGCCGCGGGAGTGCCCGATGGCACGCCCTCACTGCTGCCGGGACCGGGGAGCCGCCGCCCGCCGTCCCCCATCCGGGCGGCGCGGTCCCGAGCGCGGGCCGCTGCCACCGACAGGCCTCCCGCGGTGTCTGCAGGAGGGGGTGCGGCCCCGCCGGCGAGGTTGACAGTCTCGGTCCGCTCGGCTGTGGTGTGGTACTCCACCCGACTGGTGCGGCCCACCTGCAGCGGGAACTGGCGGTCACTGCCGGGACTGCGCTCGGAGCCCGTCTGCGACCGGGCCGGCCCGGCGGCCTGACTGACCGGGGAGTCCGGTGCCGCCAACGGCTGTCCCGGCCACGACTGCGGGCCGCGCGCCGGCTCCGGGTCCGTCCCACCCCGCCGGGGGTCCGTCCTGTCCCACTGCGAGTCCGTCCCACCCTGCTGGGGGTCCGTCCCGTCCCTGCGCCAGGCAGGGCCGTCCCGCCGGGGGTCCGTCCCGTCCCACTGCGAGTCCGTCCCACCCCGCTGGGGGTCCGTCCCACCCTGCTGGGGGTCCGTCCCGTCCCTGCGCCAGGCAGGGCCGTCCCGCCGGGCCGGCCGGTCTATGCGGTCCGTGAAGGCGGGCCGGCCACGGGCCGCCAGCGTACCGGCCGGCAGCAGCCGACTCCAGCCGTCTGGCGAGGACACGGACACTGCCGGCGCGCCGGCGACCCCGACCGGGTCCGGCAGGCGCCGACCGCCGACCCCGACCGGGTCGGACAGGCGCCGACCGCCGACCCCGACCGGGTCCGGCAGGCGCCGACCGCCGACCTCGACCGGGTTGGACAGGCGCCGACCGCCGACCTCAGCGCGCAGGGCCTCCCGGACGGGCCCGGCCGGCTGGTCAGGCCGGTCGGGAATGATGTACGGCCTCTCGGGACCGCCCAGCCGCCGGTCGGGTCCCTCCGGCCGCTGGCCCACGCCGGCCTGCATCAGCTCCTCGTGCTCCTGGCGGGGAGCGAACTCGGTCCACTGTCCGGCGGAGAGCGGCGCGCGCGGTCCCGCCGCGGTCCGGTCCCCCGGTCCGGCGGCGGCCCCGGTCCTCTCCTGGATGCGCAGCAGCTGGCCGTGCTCCTGGTGCTCGGCTCCGGTCGGAGCCCGCGCCGGCTCCCCGCGGGCCAGCCGGGGAGCGTCGGCCGAGGGCCGGCCGCCGTGGCGCTCCATCTCGTCCACGGCCACTGGGGTTATCTGGCGCCGGCCGGGTGCGGGCCGCTGGCGGTCGTCAGTCCGCTCCAGACCGAGCTCCGAGTCCACACGCTCCCAGTGGTAGTCAGCCGAGTGCTCGCTGCCAAAGTCCGAAGGTCCTTGCTCGTAGTCGGAACGCTCTTGAAAATAGTCTGAGCGCTCGGGGCCATAGATGGCGTACTCTGTACTGAAGCCGGAGCGTTCCTGGTCATAACTTGTGCGTTCCTGACTGTAGTTGGGATGGCGTTCTTCTGTAGGGAAGTCGCGCTGTTTGCTATGGTGCTCAGGATGGTCCCGGACCAAGTCGGGCCATCTCAGACCGTACCGAGGACCGTCCGAGTCTGCGTGACGCCAGTCTGCGCCATTATCGCCGCGAATCGACTGCCACCCTCCCTGGCTGCCGGCCTCGTCACAGGAGTCCAGGGTGAACCTGCAGAAACAGGGCGAGGTCAATCCATTGGTCAAAGGCAGTTGACGTTATTACTAAACTAGGTGAATTGTAAGCTATAGGAAGAGCCTACTTACACTAAAAATATGCATTTGCCTTCGCTCTATTTATATACAGCTCTACGTAATCGTCTTAGATGTACAGACGTCTAAAGTGGACCTTCTTTATGTGCCTCCTTACTGCACGTCATGGCAGGTCTCTGTAGAAAGTATGTTACTTCTCACTTCTCACCTATTTTCTATTGAGTACAATTCAGGTCGTTAATAGGCGGTTTGGGAACACCCGGCATGTGTCCAGTGCCTGCCATACTATGCTCTTTGTCCGGTGTCCACCGCATGCAGTATTGTTACCCGCGAGTGTGTGTTTTTACCGAGTGGCCCTCTGACCCGTCCGGCCGGAGCCTGGACCGGCGCGGCGCGTCAAAGGTCGCCCGATAGGAGATACGGCCGACGCGCTGCGTTTGCGAAATAGGACCAACAACACGTAACGAGCGGCCGTGCGATTTTGCAACGGAGCTCTGGCGTCCCCGGAACTGGCGCATTTGTTTTTGCCCAGATGAGATAACGCTTCCGAATAATAGCGTCCCTCTAGTCGGCGGTGTAGTAACAGTCCGACGGATACAACAAATATCTGCAGCAGCCGTCGCCGTCGGGCGGTACACGAGCGGAAGGGCCGGCGCTTTAATGACAGGCTAATTAAAGGAAATAGTTCACTTTTTAACATGGGTTTTGAACTGGAATAGCAGTTCCGTAGCTTGGGCTGAGACGAGCATAAATCAGGAGCTTTTACAGCCCAACGATCACCCTAGGCAAAGATATTCTATTTCTCGTCCCGAAAAAGGTGTCTTGCGTTGAGGATGTGTGCCTTGCATATATTTCCATCCAGTATGAAAAGAGCATGGGTCCCGAAAATTCTTCAGAAACTAGAGAAATTATCTACGAGAACTCTAGAGAAATTCTCGTACTGATCAATTAGGACATTCAGGGGAACATTATCAGATCGAGCAGATCGCCCAAATGCCGGTGGCTGCGATAATTTCTCTGTTTCTGAAGAATTTTCGGGACCCATGCTCTTTTCATACTGGATCGCGTGTGCCTTACAGAAACTGAAAAGTTCTTCCTATATCAAAATATAGAAAAAAAATATTTTGTTATAAAAAGGTTTTATTTTCTTTGCTGATTATTTTGAACATAAAAAATAATAAATCGTTGCAAAAAAAAAATAATTTCGTGAAAGTGAACTATTTCCTTTAAGATTACAGACCACGATACTGCGCGGTGCCAGCGCAGCGGGCCGTGGCGACTCACAGACCGCTGTGGCACAGTACGGGCCGTAGAGACTCACAGGCTGCTGTGGCGCAGTACGGGCCGTACCATCTCACAGACTGCTGAGTGCTGTGGCGCAGTACGGGCCGTAGCGACTCACAGGCTGCTGTGGCACAGTACGGGCCGGAGGGACTCACAGGCTGCTGTGGCACTTGTGCACGAAGACCTGCAGGCCGTTGTCGAGGAAGGTGTTGACGAACATGGTGAGCCGGTTGCCGGAGGGCTTGTCGGCGCAGCCCGGGTCGGCCGCCACGCAGGAGCGGAACCGCAGGTACCGGCTGCAGGGGGCGGAACGAGGGGGGGGGGGGGTCAGGACCGTGCTTCTGCCCTGACCGTTTACCTTATAACCATATACGCCTGCTCCTTATAAAAGGTTTGGGAAAGTTAAGCATACAGGCGTTCGGCCACGTTATTTGACAGACGGGCAGATGGGAGCGCCCCTATATAAGGTGCTAACTGTAACTGGTAACCGGGTCCAGACGCGCAGACCGCCGCTCCGGCTGGCGTCATCCGGTTCCCTCACCAGCAAACGTCCGAGTCGGGTGCTGCGTTGATGACAGCGTCCGCCATCTTTGTATAGTCCTCGCCGCAGCGGCTCTTGTCCATCGTCATCTTCTGGATGCACGGTGCGTGCTCCAGATACTCTGCGGAAGTTGACAGGTGCAAATAATACATCTATTCAAAGATACGAGGTAACAGTTACTTACTTTCAACTCTGGGGTGCGACGGCATAATGCGTCAGTGAGTAGGAAGCGATGATAATTTAGACGCGGTATAAACACATAAACCTTCCGCACCGATAGGGCATGTCGCTTGACGATCGCACCTCGGAAAATGGTTACTTATCCATTAACAATTGACGTAAGTCGTTAGCGCGTTTTACGAATCAGACTGTGTCAGACTCTGCGACCTGCGTCCGCTGGGGGCTGACCTTTGCTGTAGTCGGGGTCGCTGCACATCTTGTGGACGCTCTTGACGGCCGTCTGGACGGCGCCGTTGAAGGCCAGCTTCTGCTGCCGCGAGTAGCCGGACATGACGAACTTGTTGATGCAGTCCACGAACAGGCGCCAGTTGCTGCGACACGAGCGGGCCGGGTAAGAAGAGAGGGTAAGAACAGGACACGACACGAGCCGACGAAGGTACCTATACACAGGGAGAGATAAAAAAAAACAGTCGTGGGCGGAGCATAGTGTCCTGATGTATGAAAGCCTCTATCCGGGATGGAAAAATATTACGAGTCAATGACAAGTGTCACAAATATTTGAGTGACAATCAGGTCTTGAAACGGCTATTTCCCAAATATGGTTGAAATTCTTCCACGCATTCACAAACAATCGCGAAAAATTAGGGTCTCAAGGGGTATGGCGCCAACAGTAAGTTATCTTATCTGCCCGGTGAACATATGCAGCCATCAGTATCTTTCTGGTCCGTGGATAATATACCTATATAGATAATGGATAACAGTGAGCTGTGCACCCAATTAGCGTCCCTTTGTGTGTCTGTGGAGCACCCAGAGGCTGTCGGTGGCCGCGCCGTCCGCGCTGTCGGCTGTCGGTGGCCGCGCCGTCCGCGCCGCCCTCCCCCACTCACCGACAGACGGTGGCCAGCTCCTCGTGGGTGGCCGGCACCACCATCCGGGTCTCCGTCACCAGTGGCTGCGCCAGCTGCTGGCAGTGCTCCAGGTGAGCGGCTCCGCCGGACGCCGCCGCCGCCGTCACAGGCCCGCCTGCCGGTCACAGCGGGTCACAGCACCGGTCAAACCGGGGCGCACCAGGGCACACCGGGTGGCAACAGGATCACAGGCGTCAGTCACACCGGATCACACCGGATCACACCGGGTCACACCGGGTCACACGGGTCACACTGGTCACACCGGGTCACACGGGTCACATCACCAGTCACACTGGTCACAACACATGTCACACAGGTCACACTGGTCACACCGGGTCACAACACCGGTCATACGGGCCACAACGGCTCGCAACAGGGTCACAACAGGGTCACTCGAGGTCAGCAAACGTCACGGGGGCGTTTGCTGGTCGGGGCGCGACCCAAGCAACACACAACCTACGTCCGGTCATACGAGGTCATACGAAGCTGCAAGGTCATACGGGTTCATGAAGGTCTTATCAGCCTAAGCTCATATGGACGCTGGACAATGGATGCGCGGGACCATGCGGCGTGAAATAGCCTACTGAGAAGCATCCACAAGACATAGTGGATGGTTCTGCGGCGATTCACATGAGCTCGCCATGGGTCATGTGAGGTCACAAGGGCTCGTGGAAGGCTGCTTGTGATGATGGACGGCCTGAGCCGCATGGAATAGCTCGCGGAGCTTCACCGTAATATCCGTTTGTCCGTTGCTGGCATTTGGTGCCCGGTCTCACTTTATCTACGCAGTAGGCAATTGCGTGTTGTTTATATGTTTCAGTATGTGCAGTACTGTATACCATATCTTTCCCCGCGTTCGATGTCTCTCGGACGACGAAGATTCTACGTCGTCCGGCCAATCACGTTTCGTAACTGCAGCCGAGCCCCCGCTAACCTTGAACGGGACGTAGAATCTTCGTCGTCCGAGAGACATCGAACGCGGGGTTAATCTGCTGTAGACCACGTCCCCATCAATATTTTTTCCCACCGGTCGTTCTCTCCCTGCGTCACAGCGCGTCACAGGGACTCCTATGAGTCCGATATACGTCCCGTATGAGGGGAATGTGTGTCCTGCTGCCCCGTCCCTACTGCCCGGGGTGCTGTCCCACCCCACGCCGTCCCGTAGGGTCGCTGGGGGGAAGGGGGAGGGGCGCTGGGGGGGAGGGGGAGGGGCGCTGGTAGGTGCGCTGGGAGTGTCCCGTTAGCGGGTCGGCGCGCCGCGGCCGCGGTGGCACAGGGGCGAACATGGCGCACCGCAGCGCAGAGCGGCGTGCTGCGGCGCACAGCCGCGCGCCACCCCCTAATTCGGCGACCGCTTCCGGTGTCAGCGGCCGCGCCCGCAGCCACCCCGGCCCCGCCCCGAATCAGTGGCACCGGCCCGCCCCGAATCAGTGGCACCGGCCCGCCTCGATTCAGTGGGGTCGGCCGGGCCCGCCCCGCGCGCCCGGCCCGGCCCGGTCCGGCATACGTAATAGGTATGAGTATTTTGGCTACTCACTTTCCGTCAAGCTGGATTTTGGTGACCTTGCGGAATGCTTCACACCGCAGTTGCTTTGTGAAGCTATAGCTGCTAAAAAGTGAAGTATGTGCATAGTCTTTGCCTATCGCCTATACATACATGCATGCCATTTCAGTTCCAGCCGTAAGCGGCTCTAACACTTCAACCTACTCACCGTTTGGCTCTGTAATAGTATGTGTTCGGTCGTTCCGTCCCTTCCCGTCCCCGTCCCGTCCCGTCCTACTCCGTCCCGTCTCGTCCCACCCCGTCCCGTCCCCGTCCCGTCCCACCCCGCCGGTCCCGTCCCGTCCCGTCCCGTCCCTGTCCCCGGATCCCGTCCCACCGGATGGTATGAGCGAAGGGAGGTGGGTGACCATGCAGCTCGACAGAGCGTGGTCAGAAGCCGGATCCACCCCTCAGTGGAGGTCACAGGTCAGCCCTACACAATACAGGATGATGCCAAAAATGACCGCTAGGCCACAGGGTGTCGAGGTAGCCAGTTGCTTCCGGGGTTCGTGTATTAGTGTGCTGTGCTATTGTGCTAAGGCGTCTGTTGACGCAAACGCTGAAGGATCAGCCACATATGACATATTAGTGAGCTGTATACCTACATTTGATGATTATTATTCAGCAATTCACTTATCAACAAGGAATTACCAAAGCGGCATTGGCATTGCCGGAACCGTGAAAAATGATTGGTTTTTGATGTAGAACAATGCGGAACGGACATAGTGAAGTGGCTCAGAAGAGAAGTTCAAATTGGTAATCATTTCCCAGGTAAGTACCTGTATATCGAATAGTGTAATATTGATCTTATTCCAATGTCGCTTAGACGCATACACAATGTATGTATGTACATTGCTGCGGTCGAACATCCTTAAACACCAACCTGTCCAAACAAACAAAAGACGGCTTCGAATATGGGCATATGCGTTAACCCTCGCATGTGTGCGGCGTTTGCCAGCTTCTAATGTGTAGGGGGGGGGGTCGGTTGGACCCCCCCCCTTGCCGTTTGGCCCCTGATCGAGCTAGAGCTTCGCGGAAAAAACGAGTGTGTTGCCCGTCACGAGAGGAAGCCGATGATACCCAATTTTAAGGTCCTAGGTCATTGGTTGACCTTCCAGGTCAGGTCAATGACCCAAAGTCGGGAAAATCGGGACCTGTTAGAAAATCGTAAAGTGTGGCTGCTAAGGGGGTTTTCGGGGTGCTGATCACGAATATCGTGTTAGTTTTGATCGCAGATGATGTCTTTAAGCATTTAGACCAGGTCGGGTCAGGTCAGGTCAGGTCAACCAGTAGGCGTCGTGACGGGTATTCGTAGTACGTGTCAACCGCCTCTGACAGCTTCGTAACATGTTACGAAGGCACCAAAACTACTTCGTTAATGTTCAAATGGTTGCTAAATTCGAATTCAGCTCCAAAAACTAGCCTACAAACATGTACAGCTCGAAAAAGTGAACCGAGGTCACCCGAGGTCACCAAAGGTCAATGACCTGACCTGACCTTCAGGTGACCTTGACACCCACCCTAATGCATGGAAGCAACATCAAATCACATGTTTGAACGTTTGAAACCACGAAAAGCTTGCAAACGCGCGGCTAATGCGAGCCGACATACGCAGAATCGCGATTCCGGCCAAACATGGTCTCGGAAAAGAGGTCACAGGTCAAAGGTCATTTGGGTCAGGGTCATGAAATTTTCAGGGTAGGTGTAAAATTGATCAATGTGAGGGTACTGAAAGTTTCGTTGCGATCGGCCGCTTTTTACGCGAGTTATTCGCGAAAAACCATGGGGGGGTCCATCCGACCCCCCTACACATGCGAGGGTTCTATGTTTCCGTTTGCTTTGGACTGTATTTCAGTGTTTACTAACTACATCCACTGACAACCAGACATGTGCATGGATCCGAGTGATGGATCTATGATCTCAGTGGATCTCGAGGCACATTGCAGGTTCTGATCTATGATCCCACCGCATCCGGCGTGGAAAATTTATCCTGGACCTATGATCTCACAGGATCTGACGATAAAACAAGAACATGGATCTATGATCTGAGTGGATCCCACCATGCACAACATTTGAAACCAGGTTTCCAAGTGTTTCAATGTCAATAAGTGCCATAAAATCCGTGTTATCACATAAAATCACTAAATAAGAACGTTTTTGAGTTGCAGCGAGTTATATTTTGGGATTTCTGTGTTGACCAAAAATAAATTAGGATCTATGATCCCACTGGATCTCAAGCAAAATACTAGACTCGGATCTATGATCCCTGCGGACCTCTCGATAAATTAAAGAGCTGGATCTATGATCCCGACGGATCCGAGATCAGGATCCGTGGGATCAGATCCCAGATCCATTTTGTCGGATCCATGCACATGTCTGCTGACAACTACTAAGCGTAGGGGAAATTGCGTCATCCGTTCATATATCTAACGACCTATTGTATTAAAGGGACTATCCCACCTTCTAAAATGTTGTTAAAACCAGTTAAATTGTGCCCGAATTTATAGATTGGATGACCAGGAACACGGTTCTGGCATCTATTTTTCATTAAATATCTTAGGCTTCCCATATTCCAAACACAAACTTTCAAATATGTGACGTCACAGCCCAAAATTACCTCCCTCCCCAGGCCACATTACTGTCATAAAGCTGATTCTTTTTACTCTGTAGGCACCACAACAAAGTTCAGACCAAGTTTTAAGCGATTTTTCAACGAACAAACCCATTTAAATCAGAATGACTAAACGAGGTGACGTCACACTAACGGTCGCTCCATGTTGAAGATAGGGCCTTGTACACTCCCCTACTAAGTGATGTTCGCCCCCCGACGGCCCAGCGTTTGACTGGAGCGGTAGACTGCGCCGTCTCACACCCAGGCTCAGCGGCACAGCACATCCCTCTGGCCTCAACGGTAGACTGTGCCGCCTCACACCCACGCTCAGCGGCACAGTATATCTCTCTGGCCTCACACTCGCTACAGACGCGTTTGACCGGGTCAGGGACGCGCCGCGCTGGTTGCCTTATCGCTCACAGTCACATATCTGTGGCTAGGGGGCCTGCTGCGAATCGCTGGTCTTTCTGTGTCGACTCGAATATGATGCTTGTAAGTGGTCACGATCGCATTTAGCTCAGTAAGATTAGTTATAGCAATTTATATCGTTTATTTTCTCCCGGGTGGGGTGGGGGGGGGGGGTGTTTGCCCACACTTGCCAATGTTTGTGTGTGTCTGTAACGGAAACTGCGGCGCACAGCGACGCAAAACTTGGCACAAGTTATGAATTTCGTATCGTGTCTGGAATTGTTGACACCTGGTCACATCATAAAGTCAGGTCAAAATGTTCCTCTTTTTAGCGATGGCACCCGGATACAGGTGAATAATGGCACACCGAATCACAAAATTCCACTCTTGACCCATTTTATGCCCCTGAAGTCATCTCACATCATGATACGTCTCCGTAACCCTCGCCGGCACGGGGGGAACTGAATGCACCCGCCACCCCCCCCCCCCCCACCCAAGGCTTCAAGCGAATAACTCGCGTAAAAAGCAGCCGATTGCGACAAAGCTTTCAGTA